AACAGGATAATTAATAAGTGGCTTAAGACGATCTGGATCTGGTTTGAGTGTTCCGTTTTCTATGGTATAGCCAAGAAGACTTATTGAACTCTTCGAGTAGGTACATTTGTTTTCATTCAATGTTAAACCATATTTTGAGGCAGTGCTTAAAAATTTTTTCAGATTCTTGTCATGATCTTCTTGAGATTTTCCGCATACGGTTACGTCGTCTAAGTAAGCGAACACTCCTTCTAAATACTCTTTAGATATTATGGAATCGATAACTCTTTGAAAACAAGAAACGCCATTTGTCACCCCAAATGGAATTCTCTTGAACTGGTATAGTTTACGAGCTGCCTCAAAAGCTGTGAACGGTTTGTCCTTTTCTTGTATAGGTATTTGGTGGTACGCGCTTTTCAGGTCTATGGTACTAAATACCTTATATTTTGCCACATTTGAAACGATATTTTCTATATTGGGAATCGGATACGCATCAAGTAATGTAAATTTATTAATTGTCTGTGAATAATCGATAACCATTCGTCGCTTGTGATTTTCACTTCGGGTTACTAACACTTGGGCTCTCCATGGGGAAGTACTTTCTTCAATGATATCTTCGTTCAGTAAACTCTTTATTTCATCTCTAATGAATTGTTCATCGTCATCTGAATGTCTTCGAGATTTGGTTGCAACCGGACGGCAGTCTTGATTAAGATTGAATAGCAATGGTGGTTCTACTTTTGCTTGTACTAGGCAGCAGAATGACAGGGCAGGCTTTGGTCCTCCAAATATTACATTCACTTGCGTGTGTTGCTTCATGATGTCATGACCAATGATGATGTCAGAGCAAAGGTTAGACAGAACAGCTATCTTGAAGTTAACATATTGAGCATCGAGTAGTTGAAGGTCTACAAAACAGTATCCGTGTATAGTAGAAGAACATAGCGTGGAAGCCATGGAAACTTGACCGTGAGAGGGTTTTATTGGAAACATATGTTTTCTTGCAAAATTGTAATCGATGAAACTATCAGAGCTCCCTGTATCAATTAGAGCTTGTGCAGAAACGTTATTCAATTTAATATTGATAAGTGCTTTTGAAAGACAGTGTGTTGTTTGAAATGACGCAGAAGCAATTAAAGATGTAGAAGCTGACGTTGGATTGTTGCTTTTCGAAATTCTGCTATTCTTTGATCGCATGCACACTTTGGCAAAATGTCCAATTTTTTTGCAGTATGTACAAGTTTGTTCTCGTGCTGGGCAATTGATTCTCGGATGTCGATTATTTCCACAAAAGTAACATCGCTGTGCTGTTATATGATTGATGCTACCCGATATTTCCTCCGATTGTTCCATCAGTTGAGTTGAATTTATGTATTTTTCTGTAGATATGTATTGCAAAGATTGTTTTCGAGCTTCTTCTAATGACCGGGCTTGAGAAACGGCGTTATCCAAATTCAGAGTATTATTCTCTAGTATACGTTGTCGTATCTCACTTGACTGAAGGCCACTGATGAAGGCGTCCCTTATAAATTCGCTTTTATTTTGTTCTGATGACACTGATTTGAAACTACAGTCTTTGCTTAGCACTTTTAAAGCTTGTATATATTGGTCGATGGTTTCTGTAGGTAACTGCTTACGAGTACCTAACACATGTCTGGCAAATACTTCATTCACAGGTTTTATATATATTTCATCAAGTACCTTGAGAGCTCTGTCGAAGTTTTCGCATTCACTAATGTAGTCGTAAACAGAATGTGATACAAAATTGGTTAAAAGTTTCAGTTTACTAGTTGAGTCCAGTGTATTTGCACCATCAGATATTTCTAAGAAGTTCTTGAACGTTCTGAGCCAATGTGTCCATTCCTTCGCTGCATTCGTTGAGCTTGGATCAGTTTCGAATCTTTCTGGACGCATAAATTTATCCATGATTCATCAATTTTGCGTATTAAATTGTAATGAATAAAACCTTTACGATTTGTAGGCTTTAATACGCAAAAACTACAGCGTTCATTTAACTAATGTCAAATATATGACAAATTATAAACAAATTTTGATGGATATAGAAAACAATGTGATAGTGAAGTACAGGAGGTTTATGAATTATATAACACTGCTTTTTCAAAAAAGTCGATGGGCTTTTTGTTCATTGAAATCTCTACTTTTCACGAGTATACATAGTTGCACAACAATTTATGGTTTAAAATACGTTAAAAGAAGTGGTTGAAATAGAGGTGAAAAGCATTGCAACAAAATCAGTAGACATAATGATTCTCTTCTTTCGTCTACGTTACGTGATTTTATACAAAAAAATCCATAGCAAGACATTTTTTCATTTTCAAAATGACAGACTTCTGACTTTTTTGACATTATCCGGGTGAAATAGGGGTGAAATGGATGCGACAAAATCAGTAGACATGATGAATCTCTTCATTCGTCTACGTTACGTGTTTTTTGACAAAAAAAAATCCATAGCAAGACATTTTTTCTTTTTCAAAATAACAGATCTCTACACAGCAATGAAAAATGAAAATTATTTTTTCCCTGATTGAAATTCCGAGTTTTCAATAATGCCTATTAGTTATCTATAGTAATAGTTCCGCATTTTTCCTGTTGAAAAATCACTCCTGCACTAATTTAGAATAAATTCCTAATATTCCCTGTACTTATTCTGCCCGGCCTGCTTTTCATGATCTTCTTTTTTCTTGCTGGCATGAACGTCTTGCTGGCTTCACACCGGTTATAGTTACTGCAGTTTGTTGGCCATTTTCAAAACCCTTGACTATATCAGACACTCGTTCAGACACCAATTTACAAACGGTTTGTATTGTGGAGTGTTTTTTTTTCTGAATCCAAATTGTTGATCATTTATGTAACTGTTAAAGTCAAAATACAAAGTTAACTCAGATATCAACTTGTTTTTAATTTTGATTTCAAAAATATTACCAATAACTGGAATAACCTCTAAAAGGATCATTCTGAAATTGTAAGACTTTGTCAGTCACCAACCAGGCTGACATTTGACACCTTGAATTCCTTGAAAGATTAATTATTCAGGGTGATCATAATAAAAACAATAAATACTTCCACCTCAACATCCTGTATACCAAAAACGAAGCTAGCTAGCAAGTTAGGACACATGTTTATATGTATTTTTTGTTCCTAAAATATGAGGAAGAATTACCTCTTGATTCAATTGCAGTCATTCATTCACACCCTGTATAAAAAAGAAGATTTTCAACGATCTTGTCAATTATTTTCATCAATGTATTAAAAGATGATGTTACAAAAATTAGTGCAATATGGTACCCCTTTCAGCACTCACTTTCCAGGCACTGAATGATTAGGTGATTTTTTTCTCATTTTGAACATAATAAACTTTGATATTTGAAAGTGCCAGATTGATGCTGAATGTTGAAATTATATTGCTTTTTAAATCCCCCTTAAAGGAGCCAGAAAACCAAGAAACATAAAAGAAGAAGAAGAAGAAATCCCCCTTAAAAATTCTATGGGCTACATGTGGTGATTTAAACAGCTATTTTTATCGATTTGATTTTCAATTACACATTTTTTTCCTCTAGATTTCACTTTTTCATTAAAAATTGTGGCCTGCTATAATTTCATTTTTAGGAGACTACTGGTCTTTTCACAGAAATTATCCATTTTTATTTCATAAATTTTTTGGGATTTTACCTCATCACTATATTAGTATCATTTCAATGTATTTATGGTAAGGACCATTCAGATGATTCACCTTAAAATGTCACTGTGCTAGGAATTTTACCATTAGAAACTTGAAGGAGAAATTCAATTGAGTCAGTGACAACTTGTTCCATATAAGTAGGTTTTTTATCTTCAAACATTTCTCAAACATGATGTCTTCCAGGTTTATAATGATAAGATTTAAAGCTCAGTGACATCATAGGGCATGCTAACATTTTAATTAATAGAGAGAAAATCCCAAAAATTTTGAAAAATTAATGTTCCACCTTGTGGATTACTACAGTATGAATCATCAGTACTTAATTGATCATATAATTATTTCTTATTCTGATGTTTTTTCATGAATGGCAAAAGCATTCAGACCGGTTAGTTTTGTTTTTTTGAAAACCCAATTCCCCAGCCATTTCTACACCTATATCAAAAATGTTTTCCAGATGTATGACAAATTGATATTCATCATACAGGACGGGGAAAGAAATTCTGAATTGAGATAACCTAATCAGGAATCTGCCATTGAACATCTAAAAAATAACAAGTTTCCATCATTCAAGTTTGAACCCTTTAATTGGGTGAATGTATTGAAAAGAAATATTATCAGATAAATTATGAAAATGCAAAAATGAATATAAATGTGTATATAACAAAATACATTGAGAATTAACATTCTCTATGTGATGAAAATACCAATTCTTTCTTGATTTATTCAACAGAAAACAACTACTTTTCTGGCTATTTGCCATGATGAACATTGAATTATATTATATTTGAGAGAGAATGTAAATTCTCAACTTCAGAGGATTTTTATTTTTCATGCTCTCCTTTTGGATGTTCAACAGATGTAATTCAATGTTTGAAGTGGGAAAAGTCAGGAAAGTATAGTTGTTTTCTATTGAATATTCAGAATGATATTATGTGCATATATATTTTTAACTAAAAGAGAGAATACAAATTCTCAACTTCAGAATTCTTATATGTGTGTTCAATAGATATAATTCAATGTTCCTGGTGGCATATAGCCAGGAAAGTGTATCCTATTTTTTTATGTTCATAATTTATCTGATTGCTTTTCAAAATGAGAAGCCCTGTTCATTATTCCATATTCAGATGAGACTTTCAATTACAGAACAGATCATCTATGGACAAAGACTACCATCATTTGTGCCATGTAAACCGCATCTGACTACGAGGTGGGACAACCTATTTGGAGAAATTTCTGTCACATCCGATTGTGAACGAATTTCTTATTTTTCGTTGTAGCTTTAGAGATTGTGTACCCATATACAAAAAAACATAAGCCTTACCTCGGATCCTCAAATTCCACAAAGGCAAATGGAGGACCGCGTCGATTTTTCAAATCAACAAATGACACTTTACCGAACTTAAAGAACAGATCCTGAATATCTTTGGTACGGATGTCTGGAGGAAGATTTCCAACGTATATTCTACAATCATTACGTCCACCACCGCCACCAGACATGACCAAAAATTGTCAGGAAAATTCAAGAAGTGAAGACGAAAGAGTCAGAAGATGGACTTTAACAACTTACAAACTGAAAGTGTTGAACTGTTGAAAAGCAATTTAAAACTTGTAAGCGGAGCAGGTTGAAGCAAAATGGCAAATTCGAAAATGGCCACTCTCCACTCTCGTCTCTCGTCTCTCGACAGTCTCGACGACTCGACTCGCGTCGTCTTGGATCTCGCAATTCTCGCATCGGCACGAATCCGTTTTGCCCAAACATATGCATAGGCGATTCCTATAGACCAATCAGAGCGATTTGGGCAATGGCGGTGAGTTCAAAAGTTCAAATAATCATTGGCATCAGCATCATAGAGCATCTGCTGTAGAGGTCGGAAAGTATCGATACTGGTGGGTATCGATACGTCAATACTAAACGCACCAAAATATCGATATAGTGACTTGGCATTCTTCGCATCGATACTCCGATACCTGGCCCAGCAGTACGTTACCCACGTTGTCTCGATGGTAACCCAGGCAACCAGATGACGAATAATCCCGTCACAGTGACGTCCCTAGTTGGTGATTTTTCGTCAGAGACGTCACACACCAATTGATGACGTCACTATGACGTACTTTCTATGACGTGATAATCACGTCATCGTTTCGACGTCGAGTCAACGTCACTTAGATGGGTAAAAGAAGACGTCAGTTTCATGACGTTGCAGGGACGTCCTGTCGACGTCCATTTTTCCCAGACCTTCTCTGAACCATGAATACTTATAAATATTATCATGTGAAACAAAAGTATAACTCATGGAAGCAAATCAACATGCAAGTTTCATTATTGATATACCCAAAAAGTAGTAGAAAAACTTTCTTCTAAAAAACTTTGACACACTGTATATCTCGGAAACCAACAAGCTATGTATATATAAAAATGATTGTTTAGGTATACCTATATGGAAACCGTTACTCTCATGACGTTGCAGTGACGTACCTATGACGTCTAAAAATCACGTCGGTGTGACGTACCAATCTGGTGAGCTCCGTCATTCAGGAAATTTTTCAATAATTTGCTATTTAAATTTCTGTTGGGTGTCAGAGAATGCATCAATATACATTATTCAACAAAGTGAATCCAAATTCGCCAACATCCTTTTCATTGCTATCAAACTATTCTTTGTTTGCTTACATCTCGCCGACACAAACTACATAATTTTTTATACAAATACGAGTAACTGATTGCATTCTGATGGAGATGCGTACTGAAGGATGGCGCTGCTGAATAGGCGATTGAATGAACATGACACAGGAGGGACCCACCAAGCAGACCCAACAATGCATAATGAATATTATATAATGTCATCAGAGGCTAGTGGTGTTTATCACACCATGTTGGAGGAGTCTTTTTTACGTATCATCGTCAAATTCAATCGTCATTTTGACGTCATCATGACGTCAGTCGGACGTCACAGTTTGGTGAGTGAATGACGTCAATACGACGTGAGTAATATGACGTCATTGGGCTGTGACTTATTCACGTCATTATCACGTCAATGCGACGTCAACTACTGACATCACCTTGGTCATTCAAGTGACGTTAAAAAACCGTCACTGGAACGTCAGCTGGTTGCCTGGGAACCAGGGCCGGACTGAAGGTAAAAACGGGTCGGGCGTATTTCCCAAAGCAGGCCAATTCACCTGTCAAAAAGTGTGTATTGCAGGCGTTTTTTACCTCAAATTTCAAGGTCGACTGCTCAATATATGCAATATTAGAATATTCACCACCGAAAATATCGAGACTTCGTCAAGTAGTTGCTTTGATGAAGATTTCACATTTTCAAAAGTGAAACGGATTTTTATGAAAAATAAATGGAATAGAATAGATAAACTTCTTTGATATCAAGTAAAATGAAAAGAATATAATGAAACTGGTGAACATAAAAGGGGCGCGTTAACATCAGCTTTGTTTAAAGGAGGCGGAGAGTGTAATTCGTGCCACGGGGCTGACAGAAAGCAAAAAAGCGCCGCAGGCGAAATTTGTTGTTTTTCAAGGCCAAATATGTCTTCAAATTGATAGTTAGGTTTGTCAGAGATGGTATCATAAAGATGTGAAAAAATTATTTCAAATCCACCTGAAAATTTCAATTTCCTAATAGCAACAAATATCAAATTTTAATGACAAGTTTACTTCGACCTAAGAATGGCCAAGTGTTATTCTTAAGACAAGTTGATGTCACGACAAATAAATTCCTCCACTCGAAGACTCCAAATCGCGACATTTCCACAGATTAGATACTTTTCTGACAAAGCAAATTTGGGAAAAAATTACATAAAAACCACCAGAGATTTGTTTACAGTTTTGGTTGTCATGCATTCAATTGTTGAATTTTCGTTCTGTTGCTGGAAAAATAGAAAAACATCTTTTGGCTGTCATAATGACGAAATCACAGCGACTTACGGAAAGTTATGTACATAAATTGAATTGTCACAATGAGAAAAAACATTACACGCTGCAGTTTTGTCATTTTTTGGCGTATAATGACCTCGGATGACGCCTACATTACGCCCTTGATACATTAATAACTATTTCAGGAGATATTAATATAAAAGCCTCCACGTTATTTTGAGACAGACAGTTTTATACCCTATTCAAAATTAATTTTAATTCAGAAGAGTACTTCTTACATAGTTACATGTAACTTGTGAAAAAGACACGTCGATGCATATTTTCATACTTTTTCTAGATCAGGGTAGAATAAACATATGCGTTTGTATGGAATTCCAAATTTCCACCAAATGTCGGGTATTAAATAAAGCTCCAACAGGCCAGCGAGCCAAAAATGAGCCAGGCCATCGGGCAATCGCCCGATCGCCCGACGGACCAGTCCGGCTCTGATGGTAACGGCCAGTATCGATATATCAATTCTACAAAATAGAGCATTTCATCAATCTTCAATGGCCAAAAAGTCAAAAAGTGTCCAACATTCGAATGTAGCATATCTTATTGCTGTGAAACTTATTATAATACAAAAAGTATATATACAGGTGATCCGAAACTATTGTGCCAAAATGTAAGGGTGGGTAGATCTCGCCAAAACAAACGTTTTTCACCTATCAACCGATAGGCGCATGCGGCTTATTTTGGTACTAATAGGTATCACAAGAAAAAAGTTTAACATATGTACATACTCAAATAATATCGATATTGAGTGCCCAGCTCTACCGATTTTGACGTTCGAGACCAATCGCCTCGCTCGGGACACTCGCATTCCGTAGGCTACTCATTTATTATTGCGTCCTGGCAATGTGTGAAACCTAACTCAATCTTAATCGTAGTGTTTCTCTTATTAATAGGTCGCGTGCACGATGACCGACCCTGGAGGCAAAATATTGAAACACAACCTCACTCTTCTGTGAATTATTGAAACACAACCTCACTTTTTTATTTGTTTACAGAGGTATCAAAAGGTTGAAATAGTAGTTTTTCACAATATTTTGGCAAACGAATTGCGTTTTTTGCGTTATTCATTAATTCAAGCATGCCTTCGCATTGTGCTGTTGTACAATGCACAAAAAATGCAGCAAGAGACTAGGGAATATGATTTTTCAGGTAAATAGTAATCTCACATAGTTATCATTATGAAATATTGTCATTCCTTATTAAAATTCCTTCTGCCTTCTGCTACTTCTGCAATACAAGCTAATATACTGCTAATAGATGGAAAATGTCTACAACACACACGATCGTCAGCATGTCAGACCAGTCCTCCCGATTGATTGCATGAATCCAATATCTCCTTGCATTATTTTAGAAATTCCAGGTGTATTTCTATTAGCTCCTATTGAAGAAGGAATTCCGATGAGAAATCAGAGAAATTACCAAATTTCAAAAATAAAAACTATAATATGTGAGTGACTATAGTAGGTACTTACTTTTAAATCATATTGTACCAACCGGATTACTTCGTCTTCCGCTGCAGTTTTTGTGCATTTCACAACAGCACATTAATGTGATGGCATGAGCGAATTGATGAATAGCGGAAAAATAGGTTTCGTATGCCAAAATAATTGTGAAAAACTATTTCGATCACGTTGTGTTTCAATGTTTTGCCTCCAGCGTCGGTCATCTGACAGTTCTTGCACGCAACCCATTCAAATATGAACGTACATTAACCAAACTCTACTCGAAATATGTTGATGAGTCAAAATTATCAAATTCAGGATCCCCAAGAAGTTCTGCATCAAGGAGTCGTCTCATTTTATCACGAATAAATGTTCAGATCTGAACAAACAACAAAAAATTACCAATACAAATCGGAAATATAATTTATCATTATGTTACGATGCCAGTGACGACTTCAACTCATACGTTATCGTCCACGTGGAGGTCTACGTACAGTGAAGCAGAATCTGAAATCAAACATGAATTTAACCTGAAATGAAGTGAAATAATCATAACAATAATATTGATTAGATAATTAATAATATTCGAAAACTGGCGTTGACGTAAATTGATCCTTATTCAATACATAAAGAGAAAAATCAATCCTCAAGAAGAAAAAAATGAATTGTACAGTATAACTATCCACTATTCCGTGGATTCCTGAAAAAATCATGGACAAAAACATTATCTTAACTCTTAACTTCCCATATATAAAATATGTTCCATACATGTATGTACCTATTTTTCAATTCGAATCAGAACTAACAGTAGTATTTTCCATTTTAATAACAATATAATTTGTCTATTTTTACTGTATTCACAGACGATTACTTCTTGCAGCGCAAAAAGCTGAATAAATTTTCAGCTTTTTGCGTCATTTCAATAACAAATTTTGCCTCATCAATCAGAATACGAAACGGGAAAAGCAAAAAGTAAAAAGTTTGGTTGTGAACGCCGCTTAAAAATGTATCGATACTTCGATAGTCACAGTAAGGATATATCGATACTTAGTATCGATACTTTGCGCTCTCTAATGGCTAATCAGTCTAATCTGCTGGCAGTGCTGGCATCTGCATCAAAGAATAGATTCTGAATACATGTTTACGTGTTTAACAGTCGGAAAATTTATGTTCAGAATTTTATATGTTCATTTAATTTGACGGACATTGAAGTTTAGTAAGCTATTTTCTTGGACGTGAAGACGAAAGTCAATTCATTATATTTGATAATGGATTTTTTCAACAGGATTCCTACTCATATGGTAAATAGTTCAACAAAATAATTATTGCTTTTGTGGGCTTGTTTATTCGATTTCCAGCGCTGTTTTCCACTATTTCTCAAACAACAACTTTTCATAGTAACAATTATAAATTCCTTTTACACACTATACTACTAATGAATGAGCCTTGAATGAGCCTTACTTCAAATCACCTCTTCAAAATGACCCTACAATTACTACAAAATCTCTAAAGGAATTGAATTAGGCAAATGAATGCCAAATACTTTCCAGTGATTGAAAAATTTATTGAAAATAACATCCTGATCTGGGAACATCTCATTTAATTTGTTTCCTGTTTTTTATCAATGTTATCATCTTACAACTCTGATTCATCCTGCTATTTTCAGGACTTTGAGGGTCAAGCTAGGGCTGAAAAATTGTCCAGGATTATAATAACTCTATTTGGAGCTGTTGGATTGATTTGGGGATACATAATCCAACAGTTTTCACAAACTGTTTATATACTGGGTGCAGGATTTGTCTTGGCTGCTCTGGTGAGTGAAAATAGTGAACTCTCAAATTTTTTCACCAGGACTTCATAGTCTGGTATTTGAATGAAAAAGTTAAATCTCAATGAGCCTCTATAAGATAGTATTCAAATTAAAATTAAATCAATAATATATATTATCTTTGTCCTATTATTATTCAAATGACAATTAATCATAGTTTTAGTTTTAGTAATCTGCAAGGAATAACTGTTGGAGTTTACTGGAAACTTGATATTTATTTCTATAGATGTGATTTCACATAATATTCTGATAATTTTCTTGAGTATTCTATGTATATAGTGAATTATTGTACTGAAATATACATATAAACTGATTGAAAAAGAGAGGACATCCCTATATTTAATAATTTGAATTTAATTTGTATTTTCAGCTAACAATTCCTCCATGGCCACTCTACAGAAGAAAACCATTGAAATGGCAGTCATCCAAGAATGGGAATGAAGGACAGAATAAAGAAACTTCAAAGAAAGGAAAAAAGAAATAATAATGTCACTTTTAATTTTGTTCATAGTTGTGGTGTGCAATTATAAAACTCTTTTTGTATGTGCTGTATATTCTTGTGCAGTTTTTCTTAATGAATCTGCAAATGCCTTGGTGATGTATATAGGAATTCAACAATGAATATTATACCTAGGAGTAAATTTTAATTATGTTCCTCCATAACTTCCTTATTCAATCTATCAAGGTACCTTATCAACAAGCAAATGACCTTGGAGGCTGTGACGTCAGCCACCGTTAGATGCCTAATCTCGATTTATCGACCTTCCCAACTCGAGAGTTCCAGACTTTGATGACTCGAGATTTTGAAGAAAATTGAGTGACCCTTCCAGAACTTAGTATAAATGAGATGTCACATGAATAAAAAGTTTGAGATCGATCTTCGTAAAAAAATAATCGATTCAATGAATCGCATGTTCCAAAATGATCAATTTTTTGGGCGAAGAACATCGATCTCTGAAAGATCGATTTCAGAATAGAAATTTTTTTTGCACTAATTCAATCTGACCTGAAATAAGGCATCCAGAAAAAGGTCACAAAGAGACAGGGCGCAATAAATAATCCGTGCGGAAACAAGTTCACACCATATAAACCTACTATTCTTTGCCATATACGTATATGGTTCACACAAAATTTCCGGCCGACTTGAAACATCATTGAATCAAAGAATCACTATCGGCCCGTAAATGCTTTTACAGTATTTTTTTCGAATAACCACATCGAAAAAAAAAAGATAATACCACCACAATTGTTGAAAGATTTGTTGTATAACACCCTATTGCACGTATGCAAGATGCCTCATTTCAGGTCAGATTGAGTCCGTGCATATTTTTTAGTTTTAGGATTACTAAAATTCCTAACCTTAATACCTAATCCTAATCCAGAGAGCCAGACACTTTAGAATAATAAACCATTTCTAAGTACTCCAGAGTCCAAACTCTTAAGTAAAAATGGTACTTTCTGAGGGTTCCAAACAAAGGCTTTCTCTTGTGATTGAAGCAGCCAAAACAGTTTTTCATTATGGGTTCATTCCAACAGTTTTGTATTTAGGTTAGTTTTTGATTTTTTATGTTCAAACCCATTGTTTCCACACGTGCTTTTGCAGGATTTCAAAAAGGAGCAGACCCTGGCATGCCTGAAATTTCTTTGGCAAAGTAAGTGAGCAGTGTAATTGAAATTATTGTCAACAATAATATTATTGTATTTTTTAGCATTCTCTGGTAAAACTTCCCAGCTATTACTATTAGTCTTACTATTAGTACTACAATACCTATTTTTATTTCTTATTGCATTTAGTAGCAGTTCACACAGTGCACTATGGAAAAATGACAATTCAAACTTTATTCATTTGGTATTAAACTATTATTGTTAAAATAGTATACAATTTTATTTCTAGTAAATTTGCACTCTGTACTATTTAGGGATATCATACTAACAGAATGAATCTTCAGACTCTTGCAATGACCATTATTAAGTATCATTTCTCAATTTTATTCAAGTGAAAGGAGTTAAAACATCTGAAATTTCATGCTACATTTATAACAGTTTGATAATCTTGGTAGCCATGGGCATCATGATCAAATTGAAATTTCAGCCCACCACTTATATAAGTATAGATGAAGAGAATTGATGATTGTTGTAATAGTGATGAATAATGTTGATGAGTTCTGCTCCAAACCATCAGTTGACTTTTCAAAGATCAAAATAGTTGAAGTATGTCTCCAGTTTCCAGCATTCACTTCTTAGTAGAAGCAACAAAGATGAGTTTATGGTATGATGTAGCCAAGATGTTCCCAAAGGATGCATTGTATCCAAAAGTCAAGGCAGTTCCATTACACTATCATCCATGTCAGTATTAGCTACTATAGTATATAGATAGTTCTCTCTGAACTTTTGGCCACTTCTTGTACTGATAAAAATGCATACCAAGAACAACACAACAATTCCTATCAAAAGTATAGCAGCCCTAAAACCTGAAGCATTAAAACCTCCAAAACAATTTTTCATATTTGATTCCAGATCATGATTCCAGTACATACCAAAAGTACCACATTTCCACTGTTTTTTGACAACACTTGTTCTCTCCACAGCAGTATTGATTTTCATCACATAAACCAAATTCACAGTAATCAGCAGCTACCTGAAATTACAATAAATAGATAATAAAATATAATATCATATAATGATGAAAATATTCAAATTAAATTTCATATTATAAAAAAAATATTAGTACCTACATCTTCAAACTGAAATATCAGAATTGCAATGAAGGTTTCAACTAGCCCTACTGATTTCCACTTTCTATGCCTTCTCTTTTTGAAAACCATCATTGGGTATATTTTTTTCAAAGATGATTTCAAAAATCAATGGCATTAGTTGATGTGTTTATGACGACTTGATGACTAGCTCGAGTAGACACTTTCTATTCGACTGAGCGGGTAACACTGGAGCTACACCGGAGCATGAAAAATAGGCAGGAACAATGACGGCTAAATATGTGGACTGTCTTGACGGGTTATACATGACCAAATGACTGTCCAATCACTCAGTTCAGTGTATTCTCCACCAGAGGGGTTTACTTGCCGTCCTGATTAGAAAAACTCTTTACATCTTTGTCCAATGAATTTTAGAGGATTCTAGTTTATATACCATTGCTCATGAGTGAACAGTATCATCTGGAGTTGAAATCAATGAGATCCTTCATCTGTTTTCATTTTTAAAACCAAGGAAATCATTAAAAGTTTTGACACAATTGACCAAGATGTTTTTTCTTTCAGCATGAATGAAGACATTACTTCAAATATCAAAATAACATCTCTTTGAACACACTCCATTGAAGTATGAGGGTATATACTCCCAATATATCGAAGGTTCAAATCAAACTCATAGTATAAATCGCCTATTTGGAAATCGAAAAATTGATATTTTGAATTTTTCCTTCTCCTATAATAGTTATTTTTGTATCTAGAGCGCGAAATGCTACTTTGGTGATCGAGATCTGATTTTTTTGACGAGGCGTAGCCGAGTTAAAAAAATAGTCGAGATGACCAAAGTATTTCGCGCTCGAGTTGCAAACAAAATTTTTTCTACAAACGCCAAAAAAGATAGTTCAAAGTAAAAATATGCTCAGCTTGATATAAAAAAATAATCTTGAACTGGCTTAAAAGGCCTTTCCCTATCCTCCCTAGGTACGCACGATGTTCCACGATCATAATAGGAATTTCCTTTCGTGCGCTCCAAGAGATAAAACAAAGTTATTGTTAAACATTCAGAAATAAATGATTTCGTGGATGTTTGCTCGATTGAGAACCGTGAAGTTGAAATATAAATATCTCATATATTTTACATAACAATGCGCGAAGTAGGTACTTCGCGCACTGTTTTACTTCGCGCATTGTTAGGTGCAAGGTATCATGGTAACGTAGGAAACTGAAAAAAGTGTCACTTCGCACTTTGTTTTCAATGCGCGAACCTTGTCATTTTTTGACGTTTGTAGAAAAAATTTATATTTTTTGCATTTGCGTCATTATTATTCTGGAGCAGCGAATATAGCAGATTTCTCAAGAAATATAAAAAAAGGCAACGGCACGCGGTGTTCCCAAGCGGTCACCCATCCAAGTACTAACCGCGCCCGACGTTGCTTGACTTCCACGATCAGACGAGTGTGGGTATATTTCAACGTGGTATGGTCGTTGCCTGAAAATTGCTAGCGATGAAGTAGGTATTTAAAATAACTAGTATTAAAGTCGTTTATTTTTCTCATCTTTTTCATCTGCAACCTGCAACACAAATTTCTAACACAACATGACTTTGTAATTTTGTACAGGAGCCTCTGATAGTGCCCCTATATGTCCCTCCGCGTGGCGTGGAGGTGGCTGGTGTTGGCCAAGGCAGAGATGTTATCTATATCTATCAATGAACTCAATACAGGGTACTGCCAAAGATAAATATTCATAAGTATTATTTCATTAAATAGCAAACAATTGCTTGATAATCATTTTTGGTTTCGTATTATTACTAAATCATTTTGAATAAGCGCGATATTCAATTATGTAGGAAAGTACTTCGCACTGAATTTTCATAAAAGCGTTGATATATTCAATCAACGATAGGTATGTAGATACTCATCTTTGTCTAACACAGCGATTATTCTGGTCTTAATTTGTCTTTGTCTAACCACATTATTAATAATGAAAGAATAATCGCTGTGTTAGACAAAGATGAGTATCTACATACCTTTTATCGTTGATTGAATATATCTATCAACGCTTTTATCCCTGATAGCACACTTATGTCCCATGGATAACCTTAGGACGTCCTGTCGGGACATTCAGGACTTCCATGGGACGTTCGAATTTGGTAACGTGGACGTCCATTGGACGTCTGTGGGACGCACAAAAGTCCCACTTGAGGACCAACTAGGGACGTCCTTGAGGGATGTCCCTGGGACAACTATCGAATACTGTAGGATATTTATAAATATCCTACAGTATTCCTCATCCAAGCACCACAGAGGACATCCTTAGGACAACCTATCAGCAACGCTAATGGATGTCCATAGGATGTCCGAGGGATATCCCTAAGGGACATTTCGATTGTTATACGATCCTGGAAATATTGAGGGCGTCTGTGCAGAGATATTTGAAGAAATGTTCTGTCTGGGATATTCCATGTTTGTTCTAGAAGGGACATTATATATAAGATCTGAATTCATGCCAGAATATGTACTAACTGCTCGGGACATCCGATGGATGTCTCTGAAGGAACGTTTAAAATCATATCCCATCAGGGACATGCCAAGGTCGTCCTTGCATGGACATTCTACAATATGTACCACGTGGGACGTCTGAGGAATGCTATTTCTAGGACATTTGAAATAATGTACCAGCTGGGACATTCCGTGGACGTTCTTGCTCGGACATTGCATGAGATGTACGGGATGGGACGTCCCAAGGCCACTTATTTTTGGTTCGGGACATTCGGACGTGAATTGTACCAAATAGACGTCCCTAGGACGTTGTGTGCTATTAGGGATGACAATTTTTTTCATATAATATCAAGATCGAAAATTAACGAAAAATGAAATAAAAAATCCAGCTCCGTATTCAATAAAATTAAGTTGATGATGGCTGCTCGAAGAAGAAACGTCGGATTCCGATATTTGACAATTCTATTTTGTGGAGGAAACGCGGCAATGATGAAGTGACATTTATTTAGAAATATATCTTCAAATAAACTGAGTGATAAATCAAAACGATATTACGACATATATACTTTCCTTTTTTTCCGGATATCTACGGAAATAATTGGAATTCTCCCATCGCAATATAGGCAACCGCATTGAAGGTTCAATAACTAGGCAACCATTGAAGGTTCAAGAAATAGGCATTCATTGAAGGTTCAAATGACTAAACAATAAACATCTAAGGTTCAATGACTTATTTGTTCATTTTTTTGTTCTTATATCCACTATACAGGGTGATTCAAAAGTAAGCGGCATCCTTTCAGAGGCGTATTCCTTGCTTGAAAATAAGGCAAAAAGTTCCTATTGATAAGGATCCGAAAATGCTTCCTAAGGGAGCTACGGCCCTTTGAATAGGACACCTCAAAGACGGTTTTTTCTCTATAACTTTAAAATCCTTCACAACAAATTTTTAAAAATTGGTGTACGGCATAAACATTCGATGGTAAATAGGACTCCGTATTCGAAATTTCAGAATTTCATTCAGGGGCGTCACATGCGGGAGAGGGTAAGTGTAAAAATATCCCTTCTTCTCCGGATATTCAGGTTACTGTGATTTCGTTTGGAAATTATTTCGAATACGGAGTCCTATTTACCATCGAATGTTTATGCCGTACACCAATTTTTAAAAATTTGTTGTGAAGGATTTTAAAGTTATAGAGAAAAAACCGTCTTTGAGGTGTCCTATTCAAAGGGCCGTAGCTCCCTTAGGAAGCATTTTCGGATCCTTATCAATAGGAACTTTTTGCCTTATTTTCATGCAAGGAATACGCCTCTGAAAGAATGCCGCTTACTTTTGAATCACCCTGTATATAGGAAGCCATTGAAGGTTCAATGATTAGTTCAATATTCATCAATGACGAAACAAACAATTGAAGGTTCAAGAGCAGAATAGGAAACCATTGAAGGTTGAAAAAAATATCAAACCAGAATTTAAGACCCAAAATGATATTCATCTACCTAGTTCATTTTTGAACATTCAAGGTCCACAATATTGAACAAATTAAATCTCTACCATTCAAACAGCAGATCTCATGATGTGAATCAAAAACTTTGTCAACCTTTCAAAGTCCACGACAAATGACAATACCAAATAAATTAAATCTCGACCATTCAATAAGGTCACATATAAATCCGATTATAAATCATAACTCATAACTTCATTTCGACCATTCAAGGTCCACAATCGGAAACAATGAATCAAAAAGTCCGACAAGTCAAGACCAAACAAATTGATTCTCGACCAAGATCCAAGCAGTAAATCTACATTTCCATTTTGACCATTCACGCAGTCCACACAATCATAAATACAATATTCAATTTGGACCGACATAGTGCGAGGAGGTATGAACAGACAATATAATGACTAACCTACTATTCTTTGATATTATAGCTCCTGCCTACTATAGTAGGCAGGAGCTAACTACCTAACTTCAACAATATCCAAATAATTATACAATAGGCCTTTTCATATAGATAAATTTTTGAGACGCATATGCGCTCGTTTTCAGATCCAAAATTTGATTGGGTAATACGAAGGTGAAGTCTCATTGGCTATAGTTCCGACAAAAAATTCTGATTGGCCATTTCGAAAATGGCGGTTTTTATTGAGGTTCTGACAAATGTCAACAGTGTCAACCACCATGGGCATTCGTCATTGAGAAACAACCTTAGATCATCGTCCCTTATTGGTGATTTCCCGTCAGAGACGTCCCACACCAATTTATGACGTCACTATGACGTACTTTCTATGACGTGATAATCACGTCATCATCCCAACGTCGGCTGAGCATCACTTTTTTTTTCATGTTCTGGTTCCCACGAAAAGGGATATCCTGTAAGAGGTATATACAGGGACTCTAGTTCAGACAACATCGTGAGAACTTAAATAAGAAAAATGAGACGTCAGTTTCATGACGTTGCAGGGACGTCCTCTCGACGTCCATTTTTCCCAGACCATCTATCCAAGCCACGTATATAATTACATTATCATTAGAAAACGTTAGCTGTGTGACGCACCTATATCTACAGGATGGATATTTTCAGTGTCGAAGTTTTCAGAGAAACTCGTTTTTTCATAAATTTTACAATATACAGAAACATGTATGTCTTGGTATATAATAGAAGTATAACTCGATAATTGAACCAGATAAACATGCAAGTTTAATTGGAATTATATACAGCGTGTCTCATTTCAAACGCCCCTTTCTACAGTGTGACCCACTTTTAATGGAAACACCCCTGTATCTCTCGTAATCGTTGGATGAGGATCCTAAAAATTGATGGAGCGAGAGATATACCAAATATGCACTCTATGACCAAGTTGGATCATCTTCAGTGATATACACTGCTCGCCAACAGCCGTGGAACCACCCCAATTTTCGGAAAATGATATGAGGAGTCAAAATAGGTTGAAAATCACTTCGGATTCGGAATCAGGACGCCCAATTCACTAATTATTCATGGTTTTTCTAAAAAAAATTCGGTACATAAAAATAAAATTTTGTCTCACTTCTCATGGAAGCACGCCCGTATCTTTCAAAGATACAGTCAATGGCCAATTGAAATTACCATCAGTGATATACACTGCTCGCTAGCAGCCATTGAACCACCTACATATCCGGAAAATTATATAAATGGTACATACTATGGGTGCACCTATATAGAAACCGTCACTTCTAGGATGTTGCAGTGACGTATATATGACGTCTAAAAATCACGCATGGGCCGTACCATTCCGTGCAAGTAGTTATACACTACATTTTTTCTACGTCTGTAACAGATAACAGCAATTATTTTGAATTCTTCGGCTTGCAGCCATCCGATTTTCCTTCATTAAGTAATACTCGTCTATTAGACAGAGCTGTCATCGCTTGAAATTTGACATTTCATCGATGAGATTTTGTGATATTAGATACCAAAATAAAATTCTCAATATCCAAAGTACCTCATTGATTTATCACACACTAAACAATTTTGTGTTATAGCTGTAGCAAAATGTTTATGCTTGTCCCCCATCAGCTCTTCAATAGCCGAAAATTTTACGTCATATGACTTTACTGACAGTACTCTATTGGCTAGTTTAAATGGTTGCATATACAGGGTGTTTAAAAAAAACCTAACCCCACTGCAAAATAAGTTGTGTTTGCTCAGTGAAAAAATGTCGTAACGGCATTCGTTTTCATGATAAAAGGTGTTGAAACATTGATTTTTTTACACATTTTTCACGATTATGTCGAAACTAACTGTCAACATTGTAATGAAATTTTTGTATGTATGTTTCTTGAAATCTGACACATCTCATGAATTTGTTTTTATATCTGAGTCTCATAGAGGGCGCTAGTTACAGGGTTCGTACCGAGTAGTTTAGAACCTAACTTTTTTGAGGTTATATTTTTCGATCCAAATATGATATGAACTCGAACATCATTCAATTTTACACCAAAAAGGCACTCTTGGTGAAACTCAATACAATGTTCCGTTTTCGGAATATTTATCAATTCGAAAATAATGGGGTAATAGCTGATGCTGGTATAAAATTAATTTTATTGAGTTTAATTACCTATTTATTCAGATTCAAAAACAATAAGATTATTCTTGTGCTGAAATTATTGATGGAATAAAGTATCATTAGTAGAAAATTAAGAGATATTTGACTTGAAACATGGAATATTGAATCAGTTAGAGTTAAGTGTTCAAAATATCCTACGTTTCGAAGAAAAAACGATTCTATATTATTTTCTTAAGAATGTATTAATCTTCTCAACAGTTGAGGATCAGCTGTTAGGTTATTTTAGTGATGTTCAATTATGTCTTACAATTCTTGACATGAATTTACCTATGTAGCATAGACTTTCTGCTCAAGATACAACACAATTGTGTAATCCATGTTCTTAGTCAAATCTGTTCTGATGTTATTCTTGTGATTCAATGTTAAATCAATAAGTTTAGCATCAGAAATGTATTGTTGTTTCCGGTTTTCAATAAAAAGGTGATAATTTTTCATAATACTCACTCTAATACATAGCTTTATATACCAGCAACAGTTATCACTTCATCATTTTCAAATCGAAATATTCCGAAAACGGAACACAGTATCGAGTTTTACCAGGAGTACCTTTTTGATGTGAAATTGAATGATGTTCAAGTTCACATCAAATTTGGATTGAAAAATCTAACCTCAAAAAAGTTATGTTCAAAACTATTCGGTACGAACCGTGTAACTAGCGCCCTCTATGAGAGTCAGATATAAGAACAAATGCATGCGATGTGTCAGATTCCAAGAAACATCCATACAAAATTTCACTACAATGTTGCCAGTAATTTCGACATCATCTTGAAAAATCATTTTTTCAACACCTTGTATCTTGATAACAGATGCCGTTACGAATTTTTTTTACAGAGTAAGCCCAACTTATTTTGCAGTGTTCTACCTACCTTAGTAAGGAAGTCAGGTTTTTTACAAACACCCTGTATACAAAAAGCGGTCTTCTTTCGCGAACCGAACTATACCTGGGATTGTTTCGGAATATTGTAGAGGACATCAATGAATAAAGAAAGCCTTCCAAATATTTTTATAATAATACATCAATTTTTATATCAATCTACACAGCATTGTTCACATTCATACGCACAATAAAAAAATGCAAAAATACATTTCAAAAGAACCAACTAGATGAATTTGTAAGTCTTGAAAAAACCAGCAGAACGTTTGAACCGAATCACGATCTTTTTCTATCCAACAAATCCTGGCAGTGCTTGAAAAAAATCCATAAGTACATTAGAACTAAGTGGTACTTGAATGCCAGTTTTAAAAAGACAACACAAACTTCACACACTAAGTGATGTAACAGCAAGTTTTCAAATTGAAAAGGAATTGATATGCATGTAAAAATCTGCTATAGATTGTCGATGAATCAACAATTTGTGATTCACATGATAATTAATATGGTGATTATTGCTTGAAATACTGAACATGCAAATCAATTAGAAACGAAAAAAAAAATGCGAATCGGAATGCACATTTGTACGGTTAACTCTATATGCGTGTTTCCAAAAAATATACTGTATCCATACCAAAACAAGAAAATCACTAGTATAAAATATACAAACATTCTAACTCTAGGAGAGTACAACAAGGCAAAAGATCCTTTCTAAGCGTATTGACTAAAAACAGACAGAACTTCCTACAGAGACTTGAATGTTGGTCAGAGGTTGGTAAAAATCAATGCTTCTTGGAAATACGCCCTTCTAATAAAATTTATACATCATGCCGCTGTCTCAATTGTCCTCCAGACAAACAATTAATTGAAACTGTGATAAGATAAATAAGCATTTGTCTTAAGAACAAGTTAAGACTGGTAACAAATCATTAAATACTCCACAATTTTATTTCAAGATAAAAATACAAAAGAAATCCAACCTTAAATACCTAAAGCGAAGATTCTAGTACATTCATTCAATTTACTTCCAGTAACACAAGCAACAACACTTTGGTGCATGTCGCTGGTGCCTTTTGAAGGAAGATACGTTCGCACAATCGCAGCCATTCAGGAGAGACAAAACAGTTACAGAATATACTGTTACAGCTAATAATAATAATAATACATTATGTACGGGTTCTGGGACAAGATGTTCATCTTGTCCCGAGCCTCTCACGATGTCTGGGCAATGCCCCGCACTACACAGCACTCAACAGTTCAATATTGTCAATCGCAACGCTCCGAAGTTATGACACGTCTTGATCTTCAACATCTTGTAACTGTTCCTTAGGTTCTGCCTCACCTGGAATCAAACGGAATACTACTAAAAACATGTAAAGGAAGGAGCGGGATTAGCGCGGTGGGTATGCGCAAAAGCATATTGATCTACTGATCTACTGAAAAAACTGCTGACACTTATAAATTGCATGATATTTCGGCACGATCTGTTCATATTAATTTTACAAAATAAATAATCAATTTACAGGGTGGCCGACTAAGACTCCAGAGTTCGATTTGTCTGTTGTCTTGAGAGATACAAAAAAAATTCATGGATCAAAATAACCGAGCTTCACATTTCAGAATTTCTTTGGGTAATTTTGCACTTATCATGCGATGGGTTTTTTTTCGAAATTTTTTTTTGGTACTTACGTATTTTTGTCTGAAAAACACGAATTTGATATTGAAAATGTGAACAAACCACTATTTATCGAGATATTTCAAGAAAAAGTTCGAAATTTTGCCTTATTTTCCCCCTTGTGTTGGATGCATTTACAGGTACTTGCTCTTTTTATTTTGTCATTGGACACTTCATATACTCATGATGTACTTCAATGACACATTTTAAGCTAGAAAATTCAACAGAAAATATGATTTTTATGGTGAGTTTTTCCTATTTAGTGAGCAAGCATACCAGATGACCGCCATTTAATCGATGGGTAATCCAAATAGGAGATGTCAAATGTCAATAGATTGCTTTGGAATGACATCACACACGCCATTATTTCAAATGATATTCTTCCTTCTTTTCACTAAACATGGATAAATCACAAGAAAATCATATTTCTAGTTGACTCATATAATAAAAAATATGTGTCCAACATTGTGTGATATATACAGGGTGTTATTTAAGTACGTGGCCAAACTTGAAGAGGTGATTCTTTGAGTGATTCTAAGACGAAAAGTTCATATAAACATAGGTCCGGTAATGCTTCGTTTTCAAGATACAAGGTGTCAAAATTTTTAAAAGAAATCGTTTTTTTCGTAAATATCTTAATAACCCTTCAACCGATTTTATTGAAATTTGGCAGTGTTATTCAAGGTCGTAAAGTGCTAATTTAACCCTAACTATATCAAAATTATCATGTCCAGTGGCGTCCCGGAAGGCACTGTAACCAATATTTTTGACAGAAAAAATGTGCGCCACTGATTTTTTTGCAATTTTTGTATTTATTTCACATTGAGCTTTGTTTTTGAAAAAAAAAACATAAAAATCACTTCATTGCACATCCCTGTGACAACAAAATAAAACATTTCAACTACTAAACCATCAAAAACTGGGATCTTACTAATATTTTTCCATATTAATACTCTATTCTAGTCTTGAAATTTGCTATCAAAATTAATGCAATGAAAAAACAAAAAATATGTATGCATGAATTACAGCACTTGCCTTCGGCTCTTGGCTTCGGCTCGTCACAGGGATGTGCAATGAAGTGATTTTTATGTGTTCTCTCAAAAACAAAGCAAGATACGAAAAAAATTCTGGATATAAAAAAGTTGTAATTTTAGTTGCTCAATGTGAAACAAATATAAAAATTGCAAAAAAATCAGTGGCGCACATTTTTTCTGTCAAAAATATTGGTTGCAGTGCCTTCCGGGACTCCACTGGACATGATAATTCTGATATAGTCAGGGTTAAATTAGCCCTTTACGACCTTGAATAACACTGCCAAATTTCAATGAAATCGGTTGAAGGGTTATTAAGATATTTACGAAAAAAACGATTTCTCTTAAAAATTTTGACACCCTGTATCTTGAAAACGAAGCATTACGGGACCTATGTTTATATGAACTTTTCGTCTTAGAATCACCCAAAGAATCACCCCTTCAAGTTTGGCCACGTACTTAAATAACACCCTGTATAAATTGTCCAATGATGGAAAAAGAAGGGCAAATTGTTCTAAATGCGCCCCAAAGACAGGCGGAAAAGAAGGTGAAATTTGTAACTTTATAGTGAAATATCTCAATAAATAATGGTTTGTTCACATTTTCATTATCAAATTCGTGTTTTTCAGACAAAAATACGTAAGTACCAAAAAAAATTTTCGAAAAAAAACCCATCGCATGATAAGTGCAAAATTACCTTTCTTTGAAATACACAGGGTGTTCGGTAAGGTCACAGAACATCAAAGCATGTTTTTTTCATTGGATCACCCTATATTTTATTTCATTTTTGAATTCTCCCTGAAGATCTGATTTCAACGATCCATCATTAGTTCAGTCAACGAACACTAAAAAAGGCTGAATAGAGGAAAAAAATCGTGTAGTCGCAAATTTTTGTATAGTGGTGAAGGGAAGTGTCATTAACAACATACTAAAAGTCCTGACCCGTAGGGGATGAGCGCGATGGTGGGGGAGTGTTTGAAGGTCATTTTCTCAATCAATTCTTGAATAATTCGAAAATCGTGACCTCTAGCGAAAAAATATAGGTATACTGTTGGATATACACAGTCCACTGTGTACGTAGACAAAAATGAAATATAAACCAATGAATTTATTATCGTTGAATATCTAGAAATGTCGACAGTGCAGCGCACGAGGGCCACATTAAATTTGTTTATTTAAAATATATAAATGAAAGCAATGTGTATGGTATAGATGAGGAGAGACTGCTTGCTAAGCATATACTTATGTACTTAGTTTTCCTAGAGACGTTTTCTATATGATGATTCTTACATCGGCGTGCTTTCCGAGTGGTCTTGATTTGAAGAGAACAATATACAGTTTTAAAGTATAACACACGGACTTGTTATTTCCATAACCAATTTCCATCAGGTTATGGGCCCAGATTGCTAATCCAGTGTGCTAGCTCATAAGTGTGTATTTGTGTACTTCGTGTAATCTGAAGTGACTATGGAAAATTTGAAAGTGAAGAGAAACATTAAATCATTCGACGGGGACAGATATGGTGTGTGGAAATTCAGAATACGGGCTCTGTTAACTGAACTTGACGTTATTAAAGTTATCGATGAGGAAATCCCTGATCCAATGACTGATGTGTGGAATAAAGCTGAACGCACAGCCAAAAGTGTTCTTGTGGAGTATTTGGCTGACTCTTTCCTTGGTTTCGCAAAAACAGACAATACCGCAAAGGAAGTTTTGTGTAGTTTGGATGCAATTTATGAACGCAAGAGTATAGCTACACAACTGGCCTCACGCAAGAAATTGCTGGGACTCAAATTGCAAGGTGACACATCTCTAATGCAACACTTCAGAACCTTCGATGATATAGTTACAGAACTATTGGCAGCAGGTGCAAAATTAGAAGAGACTGATAAGGTATCTCATTTATTGTTGACTCTCCCTACATCTTATGATGGAGTTATAACAGCACTGGAAACATTATCCGAGGATAATTTGACTTTACCATTTGTGAAAACAAGACTCCTAGATCATGAGGTCAAATTAACCACTGAAAGCCGCGATACAAGCGCAAAAATACTTCACGTTGAAAATAGTGATGTATCAACAAGAAAGCAAAACTTTGAGACCGCTGGACAATTTAAACATCATCGTCCAGGACATTATAAACCAAGACAGTTCAAATTCACTAAGAAAACTTCAAATTTGAAGTGCTATCATTGTGGTCGAAAAGGTCACTTGAAACTGAATTGTTATCATTACAAAAAGGCACGCACATACAAACCAGCTGATAGAAAGAGAACCATTCAAACCATCCAGGTATCTCAGCAACGATCAGCAGCAAGTGAAAACGCATCTGGTTTTGCATTTATGGCTGGAGATTTCGAATGTTTCGACAAAGAAGAGAATAAAATCACATTCCTCCTAGACTCTGGAGCATCCGATCATCTTGTAAACAGAGACGATATATTTGGCAAGTTGGTTAAATTGCAAACTCCAATCAAAATCTCAGTAGCTGAAAATGGGACTTACATAACAGCGACAAAGAGAGGAACGATTAATGTCATCAGCAACATGGGTATTCCAGGTATTCTTGAGGATGTCGTCTACTGTCCAGACGTTCCGTACAATTTGCTGTCCGTGCGGAGAATGCAACAGGCTGGAATGACAGTGGTATTCACTCCAGAGGGTGTTTCCATAAGCAAAGGTGGTAAGACCATTATGATGGGTAAGTCTTTGCACAATTTGATTGGTATTGATCTCTTGATCAATACAAATGTACCAACTTCTATTGTTCAAGTATATAGTAGCACAAAAACTAATAATTATGAATTGTGGCATCAACGTTTAGGCCACATTGGAACATCTAAATTTTTAGAGTTGAAAAATAAACAAATGATCGAAGATGTGGGTCAAATCGATCAGATAACACCTAATGATGATTTATGTGAAGCGTGTATAAGTGGTAAACAAGCACGTCTACCATTCAAGAAGGGTAAAGATAAAACGCACGTAAAAAGACCCTTATTTATTGTTCATTCAGATGTGGCTGGTCCTATTACGCCTTCAACAATCAATAACAAAAATTATTTTGTTCTTTTTGTCGACCAATATACTCACTATTGTGTTACATATTTGATTACATATAAATCAGATGTATTTTCCGTTTTTCGTGATTTTGTTGCAAAAAGTGAGGCTCATTTTGATTTGAAAATTGTCAATCTATATTGTGACAATGGAAGGGAATATTTATCGACTGAAATGAAGGACTATTGTGTAACGAAAGGAATTAGTTATCATTTGACAGTTCCCAGAACCCCACAGTTAAATGGTGTCTCAGAGCGTATGGTAAGAACTATCACAGAAAAAGCTCGTGCAATGATTCATGGTGCAAAATTAGAGAAGGTTTTTTGGGGTGAGGCAGTTTTAACTGCAACATTGTTAATAAATATAACACCGACTAAAGCTCTAAAACAGTTCAAAACACCATATGAAATGTGGCATAGCAAAAAGCCGCAAGTAAAATATTTGAAGATTTTTGGTTCAACCGTTTATATCCACAATAAAACCAGAAAATCAAAATTTGATGGAAAATCCTGGAAAGCTATACTGGTTGGTTTTGAACCGAATGGTTATAAAGTGTGGAATGTGGAAACTGAA